ACGGCTGTAGTCAGCAGCTGGTGAAAGGGACTGATATGAAGTATCCACGACCATTTAACATGTGGGTAACAAAATGTCTTTGTAGTCCATATTTTATTTTCATGTACTAAGCACCATAGATTTTCCATGCAATCCATATTTGAGTGGCCTGAGTTATATGTACAGTATACACTTGTATCTATGTCTATATATCACTATCTTTGTAGGTGATCATAATATCTTTGATGGTGACATTTGTGCTGACTAATGAAGGAATACTGAATATTTCCTTATAGAAAACCTTACACAATTACACATACAACCGTTATTCCAGACTGACCAAATGGTGCCTCTACTACATACAATCATTTGATGAAATCTATCTGGTTTTAGAATTAAGGAATAGTGACGATCTGTAATCTGGACTTGTCTTAGGGTAATTACTTAACAAATTCACGAGAGTTTCTAATTTGATCATAATTGTTCATGACACATGTTAGCAACATGTGTCTGCAATGTTACACCTGTTGTTCAAGAACTACCGAGTTACAATGCTCCGGTGGTAGAAAAGATATCATAGACCAGTTGAAATTGTGGATTACTAGAAATTTTATGATTCTGGTCTAATAAACCAACAACTGAGTATAAGAGTAGCATATATACTTTTACACAGTATAACCATTATCGTCTCCTAGCCAACTAGCAGCATTGCACTAGTACTACCAAAATCTATAGAAGCTCTGCAAACATAAATTCTATTGAGGTTATTAATGGAAATGTTTATGAGTTTCTTGCTGGAATGCTTCTCATCCTGCAATGCAAGATGTTTATTTTAGTTTGAACACATCTGTGTAAGAGAAATATGATGTGGAGCTAGATATTATGGTTTTAATAAATTCTTGACCAGATCAATTGTAAGCCCATGGGTTGAGATAGTTTTGGCCAGTAAATCACCAAAGGAGGTATTATTATTAGTGTTGTTTTGATTTGCTTAGGATCCTCCTGAACATTGTTGATTTTATTTGTAAAAATCAGAGAATGTCAAATTAACTTCATGCATCAAGTTACATGTTGATTAGTATGCATTAACCATTTCTTTTATAAACTTTTGAGGTTCAAACATAACTGAATACGTCTTTTGGCTTGCCTTAATAAAACGTAGATAGTAAATCATATTGCTTGAACAGATAAAAATAACGAAATAATTAAACACATGAAACTAGGATTATCATATGTCTTGCCTTTATATCTCATACATGTTGATTAGTAAACAACTACATCTCATTAGCAGTAGAAAAAATAGTTTTACATACTAAACCAGTTAGTTGTATTGCTTTAGTAATACAAAAACCCTCAAATAGGTTTGAGGTCCCTCAGTGGCTACCGTTATGCATTTGTCAACAGTAGAGTTAATGTTAAATTTTCATTAATTAAATCATGCTGCAGGGGCATAGTCGTAATCTCCATCATCATCGTCCCCATCTCCTTCAAACCTGGCCACTGGTGTATAGTAGTAGCCACTATATATCATTCTTCTGCATGTTAGCATGATTCCAACCCAACCACCCTCTGATTGACTTTGTGACCGACGACATTTCCTTGATGACAGAGTACGAAGAAATGTTGAGGTTGAGGTTGTGGTTGTGAGTAGGAAAGAAACTGAGAAGCCATGCATATTTATGAGCAAGAGAACTAAACTGGGCATGTTTTCAGATAGGTCTACCCACGAGAATAAGTGTGGAGTTATGATCAAATGTTGTGCGTCAAGTATATGTGGGCACCTATTTGTAAAAATTTCAGCAGACATATCAGAAGAAATGTATGGAGTTTTATGGGTTGCCACAAGAGAAAAATGTTGGAGTTTCATGGCCATCTTTTTTCTCAGCAGAAATGATAAAAAAGGATGCTACACTCATATTGACAGGAATCTATCAAAAAGTTGAAGTGTGGAGTCGTTACCAATGGATGTGCATGACATAATAAGGTTTACAGGTCATTGGCCAGCCACATAAGACTGTCAGGTGACACATCAGCTGCGTGGATTCTTTGATCATTGCCATGTCATTCAGCAAAGTCGGGGAAGTAAATATGATCACGTAACTTAGAAAGCATATTTAGTCTTAAAGATCAATTTTTTTTTGTAAGTTTTCTTGTAATATTAGTTTGTTTTGTCCAAAACAATATGTATTTTATTAAACAGATCTTAAAAAAGGTGATTGTTATTATAATATCTTTATCCTCTTTTTTCCCGAAATTTAAAGCTAGAATATAAGTAATTTGACTCTTGTGTGATGATTTGCCTCTTGAGACAGGTTGCACTTGACCTTTATAATGAAATGTCACTTTTAAATAGTTCCACTTCATATGATTTTAGATCCAACCTTTTTAGCAATTTTATGTAGCTAGTCTAACACAATACCATTCTTTTCCAGAATAATCTTCATTTTGGATATAATTTTCAAATAAAGGTGGTATTATGATATCTCTTGGCCAATTTATTAATATTCTTATAGAATATACTGTTATAAATTAACTAGGGTTGATCTGATTCTGGTTGATGGCACTTTTGGTCCCAAATATGATGATTCTTAGCATGACATGCTCTTGACAAAATAAGTCGTCCTTTTAGACTTTATGAGGGGTCTTAAGTCATAAAAATGTGGTGTTGGTGCTTAGTGTTTCTCCACGCATGCTCTAGAGAGTCATAAGGCAATAAGAAGTTGGGATTTTCTGTATTAAGCACTTAATGGAGATGCAAAGTCATAAAGTCGGAAACTTTATGACTCTTAGTGGTATTTTGGCCTTGGATCTGAAAGTTGTACATGAGAGTTAGCTTAATGCATTAAACTCTTGTTGAGAAAATAGGAAGTCTAAGCGTACACCCTGTGTAATCTGGAGTACATAGTGCGTACATGGTCAATCTCTTGACTGCGGTCAAAGCTCCAGTACGTCCCGTGTACCTCCGGAGTACGTCCCGCGTACGAGCCCTGAGTCGACTCAGGTGGCTTGACTCGTCTGGGTTGACTTAGTTGGCTTGTTGATTATGACCAGTTTTGACCAAGGGTATTTTGGGGAAATGTTATTAATATAGAATGGGAAATGTTTTGACATTTAGGGTTTGGGTTGAGCCGTTTGTCTGAGTTGGAAGAGATTCACACTGCATTCAAATTATGATGTGAGTTTTCTCCACTGGACTTACGGGTTGAAGGAACCAAGGCCGGCCCATTGGATTGATATCCTGTTTTTACTGTATGTTGCTATGCTTTAGTGATCTGTTATATCTGTATCCTGGTATATAGGATGTTGCTATGCTGTAGTGATCTGTTAGATCTTTATCCCGGTATATAGGATGTTGCTATGCTGTTGTGATCTATTAGATCTACATGACTACCTGTATATGCTAGCTATTGATTGTTATGGCATATGTTGATATATGATGGTGTACCGGGTTGAGGCGGTCCTGCTTTGTGCTGAAGGCCAAGATATCCATGACGGTCCGGATAACTGAATGCCTACGAGACGTACAAATCAGGCCGAAAGCCTAGAGACCGGTCCAGATAGGCTGAAGGCCCAGTGAGGCGGTCCAGTCATTCATGCTGAAGGCTTTGTATACGTGATGTTGTTTGTTATGTTTATATGGTGGTACTTTGGGGAACTCACTAAGCGTTGACTTACAGTTTTAATTTTTTTTTCTAGCTACTTCTAAGGACCGTGGCAAGGCGAAGACATGACCATACACATCCTTGGTTTATGATGATTGGATCTTAGAAGACTGATTTTTAATAATGTTTTGAAAACAATGGTTATGTAAACACTTCTTTTTAGAAAATTGATGGTTTTGAAAAGTTTAAATTTGTTGTGATTTTTGAGACGTTACAGTCTCAAAAGATTTTATACATATTAGAATGTTTTCAATAACATTTGTCATAAAATTGCTCATTTAATATATACAAACGGGTTTTATTATACATTTTAAGTCTCATATATTTGAGAATATTAACAAAATAGTTCCAAAACCAACCACAATTTATATTTATTACTTAAGAGTGGGTATAGAGTCCCTGCAAAAATATTAGGATTTTTGGATGTGTTTAACTATTTATTATAATTTATATCTTAAAAAAAGCAATAAATGTGATTAAATAATAAGAAGTCATAAAAATGTTTGAAAATTTTATCATAATCGTTTCTAACCTTTATCTGGGTTGTGTAAAATTTCAAAGATTTTTGGAATATCAAAACTCAAGTTTTATGAATTTATTATGATTTATTTTGAACGGTGAGATTAGTACGCATTTAACCCCTTTTTTATGACCTTTTGAGGTTCAAACATAATTCAATATGTCTTTTGGCTTGCCTTCATAAATCATACGTACTAAATCATATTTCTTGAACAGATAAAAATAACGAACTAATTAAACACATGAAAGGATCATCATTTAGCTTGCCTTTGTAACTCATGCGTAGTACCCAAGTACATCTCATAACCAGTAGCAAAAATAGTTTTACATTCTAAACCATTTAGCAGTATTGCATTAGTAATACACGCTACTACAAAATCAAAAATAAAATACGGTTGAAAAAGCAATTAAAATACGGACATTGAAGCGTATTCTAATAGAACGTGTTTTATTTGAAGAAGCAATAAAATACGGTTATAGAACCGTATTCTATTTAGACGATATAATACGGTAAACTATGCATAGAATAACGTTGTAGAACCGTAATCTATAAGAATATAAAGTACGGTAATCTAAGTAATAGAATACGATTGCGAAACCGTAATATATGAGAAGATTTAGTACGCTAATCTAGGAAATAGAATACGGTTGTAGAACCGTAATGTATATGTCTATTAATAAAAAAATCAAATATTAAATAGTTTCGAAACCAATTATATTGGTCTTCCGTTTGATACATGGATATGTGTGTTTATAAAGTTCAGAAATTTAGTCATGAGAAATTATAAAATTGACAACTACAATAAAAAATAAACATAAATACATTAGCTTTTACGAACAATAATAATTGGTCATTCCAAATAATAAAAAGTAACTATAACAAAATAGTAGTTAAAAATAAAATACTAAGACACAATCATGCTAGACTCAAACGACAAAGGAGAAGGACAATTGTTTTCATTACAAACCTATGACACCTAAAAAAGGTAAAAAAACAAAGAAACTTCTTCTGTCTTTTTGCACCTTTTCGATTACTGTGGCTCCATTATTCAAAGTGGACTCGAACCAACCATCAGCAATGAAAAGCTAATCAAGAACCAAAAGTAAAGATGAGTCAAGATTTTATATTTTTATGTGTAAAAACAAAGCATATGATACATGACTTTGTTTAAACCATAGAAGGTTAATCAAAATAAATCCAATAATAACAAGTGTAGAAAATAGAACTAACCATTAAACACAAGCTTCATTTCATATATTTACTTTGAAAAGTAGTCATCCACGCATTGACCACATCGTCCAACAACTTTTCAGGAATGGGGTTTATATCATTCCAAAGGTTCTATATGAAGAATAAAACAAAAACTCTTATTGAACAAAAGAGACAGTTTGGTGCAATAGACAAAATGAAAAAACAATATTACAAAAGTTACTTACATTCGGGAATGCATATTGCCGATACATGACAAATTCACGCATCCATTTCAACACATAATAGCCACATTCCCAATTAGACGATTGTTGGTTGCACTAAAAAAATAAACATCAGAGGTTTTCTTATGTTATATATATATATATATATATATATATATATATATATATATATATATATATATATATATAGAGAGAGAGAGAGAGAGAGAGAGGTCAATTACATCAGCAATCGTCCATGTCATTGGATGTGATGTTTCAAAATCTTCATTAAACATTTCAACAGCCCTAAAACAAAAACAAGTAATATTGTTACAATTTATAGAAAGAAATGTCATCCAAAAATATATAAAAAATATCTACTTTTCAACATGCTTTATGACTTTGTAGGAATCAGTCGGATTTTCCTCACTTCTTGATGGAATCCAAAATGTAACCAGTGCGTTGATAAGGGCAAATCACAAGCAGCAACCAATGTCGACTAGAATGTTTAAAGTGCTTAGGATAAAAATCAATGAACAAAAAAACATACAACAATTATTATAGTAGACTATAGTACCTTTGCCAATATGGGGCAAGAAAAAAGTCTTTTTCTTGATGGAAATTCATTGTTTCAGCGATCTCAGTTGCAACACGATTGTTGTGTTGGTTAGTCTTGTCCTGCTCATCATGGACACATACTGTTTCGGTGATCGACTGTGGGTTTATAAATGCACATCTGTTAACCCCATTTGTTGCAAGAATGGAATGTAGCACTCTGAAACAAAATAGTATATATTATAAAAATAAAATATTTTAAAAGTTTAATATAATGAAAATTAATACACTTACATTTGATACCAAAGTATACAACTGATGTCAAGCTCTTCACTATTCAACATCTCTAAAATCACATCATGCCTAATGTATGTTTCAACCCTCCCCGGCCCAAACATACCAGGTTCTGACTCAACATGAAAATATTCAACAAATTTGTTGCTTGTAAAACTACTATACCATGATTGAATGACAGGTCTGCCTTGTAGTTTCTTTGGTGTCACAAATTTTTGTGTTGCCCTCTTTGCAATTGTTGGCAACCGCTTGGCTGCTTGCTTTTTTGGTATTGTTGGACCTGCATTAACAGGCCATTTGACTGTTACATAGGGTTCAAGAATTTCAAGGGACTAATACTAGTTTTGAGCAATTACCTGGTTATCCATAACAGAGGCAACTTTTTTAGTGGGAGGACTTGCATCTTTTTCCACGGATGGAGGCGAGTAGGAGGTCTAGTAGATAGTCAAAGTAAGTGATTAATATAATTATGGTACTACTACAATATTAGAAGAAAAATAAAGGATATGCATGTATACCTTAGTAAGAAGAATCGCATGTCTTGGCCACTGAATAAAACTATAAAGTGCTTCCCCTAGGTTATCAGCATCACTGGTTGGCACAGGAATATGGAGAGAATGATAGTCACCATAGATTATATCTACTGATACCTTCACATGATCTTTTTGTAAAGGTGTCGAGTGTACTATCCCATTTCCAAATGGGTGGACGCGTCCCTTGGCACATCTTCTTTGCACCATGCCGTAAGGTAGCAACAACTCACACTCTGTAGGAACCTGAAACACACATCATGTAGTATATATGTAGCTAGTGCCTTTATATAAGTAATTATTTATGTTATACAGATACACAATACGCACTGATATTTTATCTAATGCATCCACCACTGGTGTCGATTCAAGACTAGTTTTGTTCACCACTGGGCTTGGGCTTGTAACAGTGTCATCATTATTCTTAGCAATCTCACGTAGTAATGAGGCGATCTTATCTTCCATGTCAGCAATCGATTTGGCATGTTCCTCTTGCTTAGCCTTCATCTCTTTCAAATCTAGTATCTCATGTTTTTTCCTATTTTTCTCTTTAATCCCTAGTATAGATTGCTTCAATCCAACATTGTACCCGATTGCCCTCATACGACCAGGATGCTCTGGTCCTAAAACCTCAACCAATAGATCGGATCCTGGTCTAATCTCCAAGTCTCCTTGAGATACTTGCTTTTCTTTCTCTACCTGTACATGTAAACAACATGATCTTGAGAACAAATACCCCATAAGAAACATTCTTTCAGGGAAATCATAGCAAAATTAAAATAAATGGATTATTATTGTACAATATTATCCACCAAGGGCTCCATATCTGGTGTTACAATCAATGCCCCTGAGGAATCGCATTTTAACCGAGCAAATATATAATCCCTTGCTCGTTCGCTTGATATCTGGTGGGCTTTTGTCAATACACCAGACTCCATCTCTTGCTCCCATCGAGGTCGCATGCCACGATACCCTTGTGGGCCTAAACGGGACGGGTTCTTGTTCATCATCACACTTGCTGTTGCTTTCACTCTTATTTCCTTCATATATGAGGAGCAAAATTACAAACATTACAACATAAATAACCTCACCAGTAAGAAAGTAAATGTGTCACTTCTTATGAGCTAATGGAGAAAATGTAGTAAATAATTACCAAGAGTTTCATACCTTAAATTCGGGCTTGGACTTTTGCTTTACAAAATCATTCCACATGTCTTTGTCTAGGTAGGGTTATTTTTCTAACGGATCAATGCGTTTGTCCATGAACTTGACAAGCTTGGACTTGTAGCTCCTCCATTGTTTATTGCAAACTTTAAGTACCTGAGCTTTGTAATCATCATTTGGTATGTTCCAGTGAGTCTGTAGTAAAAAGTGTATAGTAACTATTATTAACATATTTAATTATATTTAATATAAACACACATAACAAGTTTTAGTTATTATACCTTAATATTTAACCACAACTCATCAATCTCAGGTTGAGGCACTTCATTCCACTGTTTTAGGATAGAAATCCTAGTTCTCACAGTGACTCCACAATAGGTGGTGAATTCAAATATGTTATTTCCGATAGTTTGACCTAACTCATCGAACTCAATTTGTAAATGTACTAATTTGTGTTTTGGCTTATCCTTTATAAGAGAGACACTCCTCCCTTTCCTTTGTGGGCGACTCATTGTATTCCTACAGGAACAAATAAGATATCAAGACTAAATAAACTCTCAAGAGTTGTCAGAAAAATTACATCTTATCAAGTCATAAAAACACAATACATATCAACAACAAAAAAACAGATCAAATATCAGTAATAAGATAATCATAGTACATATCAACAATAAAAAATAGCATTTTTTCACTTGTTTGTCGTTTTACAGACTCCTAAATTACTCAAAAACCAAAACTTTGATAATTTTATCACAATACCTTGTAAACAGATGACAAATTTTTAAATATTCATCTGGACATTATCGTGCAAAATAGAAATTATATAGTATCTGGAAAAGACATTTTTTTTTCTCTATACTCGAACCTGAGAACAATTAAAAGTAAGAAACATTCTTTATCTTACCTCGAATCTTAGGTAATTCCTGCGCACAGTGGTGAAAAAACTCAGATTTGACCGCAAACGGTTGTGGTGCTGCAACAATGGATATCGATTTTGAGAGAGAAAGCTCAAAATTGACTGCTGTGAAATTCACTTCTGTAAAATTAGGGCTTAATTATGCCTATAAACTTAATATCGATTTTAAGAGGGAAAGCTCAAAATTTTGGCGGGCGAGATAAAAGGATTGTGCAGTTATCACAGATGCTACATGGCGGTTATCAATCGAAAACGTATTTCTTATAAAAAAAAAAGAATCGCAGACCCTAATTAATCTATGATGATTTTATAGTTAAAGATGGTAAAAAAAAGCGTGCTTGGTGAAACCTGATATGTGCTAAAAAGGGGTTTTGAACAAAGCCAGTAATTAAATCTTTATGATCTACGGCTCATAAATATTTTGGGTAAAAAAAGTTTCCATAAATTTCCCAAATGCATAATATATTAATTAAATATTGGTTGATGGTTAATCCTTTTACGCCTATTTTTTCTTAACTTTAATAAATAGTTCATGTAGTAAATATAATTATGAAATTGATATTTAAGATGATGATCTAATAAAATAATGTATAATGCGGTAATCAAAGATAGTATATGACATGAAGCATGACACGACATGAAAGTCGAGTTTTGAAATGTATATTAGATTATTAAAATTATTTTGGATAATTTAAGTAATTCTTATTCAAAACACTTTCTAAGTTTGTAATTTTGGATCCCGTTGGTATCACAAAATCAAATTTGAGATAATTCAATAAAAATACAATATGGATTTAAGGTGAAATTTGACATCAAACACATAATACCTTGCTTTCATTTTGTGTTTTTGAGATAGTATTTTGTATTTTTGCATAGAAACATTTTATCCTTGTGACCTACTACCGTAAGTAAAAGGATACTATATTATACAAAAAGAAAAGGAATAAATGTGAACAAAAAAACTCACCCCCCCCCCCACACACACACACCTCCAACAACCCCATCCATCACCACAACTGCCCTCCACCATTACTACCACCACCACCTCTACCTCTGCCACCACCGCCTCCGCCACTACTACCACCGCCACCACCACCACCACCTCTACCACCGCCATGGAAACCGCCTACAACAGCCACCACCACCACCTTTACCATCAGTGCCACCACTTTTACTACCACTACAACCTTTTCCACTGCCACCACTACTACCACCTCTTCCACCTCCATCACCAACACTACCATCACCGCCTCCAACACAACCACCAGCTCCGGTGGAGGTGGAGGTGGTGGTGGCTGTTGCGGTGATGGTTGTGGTGGCGAAGGTGTAACACCCAAAACCTGGTACGTCTTGAAACCCTCAAGAATTTACGTTATAGCATAATTGGTCCCTTGAGTATGCTGGGCGTACCTATGTGTATGCTTAGCGTACTCTGCATAAATGATCGCGGAGGAGCCTCATGTACGCAGGGCGTACGTGAGGGTACGCTGGGCGTACGCTTCAGAGGGTCAAAACCCTAAATCTCGGACTTGTCCCCCTGTTTAATCATCCTTTAGCCTCTTGGACCAAACCCTATCAGCCTCTTGAGCCTCTTTTCGTCTACTTTCATGTAATGCCCCGTTCCTGGTATGCATTTTTAATTAATATCCTTTTTATTTTAGAAGCTACTCGACGAGTCAGTAGCCCTAACTCGTCGAGTAACAGTGGGTCTGCTCGTGGATTTAGCATGGCAACTCGGCGAGTCCGATTATTCCCGACTCGGCGAGTCCGCCAGTTTGGACGAAACCCTAATTCTAAGGGTTTGTACCCTATTTAAGCATCATTATAGCCCCCAAACCAGCCCCCATCACCTCCAGAACGTTCTTTCCAAAACCCTAGCCTCTCCATAAGTGTTCTTGAGTGTTTCTCACCTTGTGAAGGATATTTTTTTGGTGCATCTAAAGGCTAGAAGAAGAAGAGAGAAGTTGAAGATTCGAAGAGGGCAATGTAGATCCAGAAGCCATCTTCCTTCATGCACCTTTTCTGGTAATCAAGTTCTCAACTTGATCCTTTTATGTATTAGATCTTAAAAGTCCCCAAATTGATGGTTTTGAGCTCAAAAACCATAAATCCTTAGTGATGAAGAAATTTTATCGATTCATAGCTCAGATCTAATCTCTCTTGAGATCCAGGAGCTCAAGAAGGCCATCTTTTGGCAGCCATGACCTTGTTCTAGTCAAGTAACCTCTATAATAGTTAAGTTTTAGTGTTATTGCTTCATTGCATCATAGATACACGTAAAGTTAGCAACTTTACGTGTTCAGATAGCCTTGGAAACCCAGATCTATGAATTGGATGCACTAAAGCTGATTAGAATCGACTGAATGGAGACTGCATGCAAAGGACTCGGCAAGTCAGGTCGCGAGCCCCAAATTTCCGGTTCAGTGAGTTGCAAGTCAAGGACTTAGTGTCCCCATTTTGTTGTGGTTCAAAGGAACCCAGTTGAGTGTTATCCAGGTCCAGACAAGTCCAGATGAGTGATCCATTATAGTCATGACCTGGAAATCATGGGACTCGACGAGTGTAAGAACACACTCGGCGAGTCCAAGGCAATCTTCTTAACCTCAAGAACAGACTCGACGAGTTGTTCATGCAACTCGGCGAGTCATAGACCGGACACGTTCATATGATGAAGGAGGACTCGACGAGTTGTTCATACAACTCGGCGAGTCAGATGAAGGTTGATTAGATAGTAGAAGGAGAACTCGTCGAGTCTTTGCTAAACTCGATGAGTAGGGTCGGGTAGGGAGCAGAAGAAAGGATAGGGACTCGACGAGTTGGCGGCCCCACTCGGTGAGTCATGTCAACTGGAAGTTGACTTTGACCAAGACTTTGACTTTGACTTTGTCCAGGGGTAAAATAGTCACTTTAACCAAAGATTAGTTAGCAGTGTTTGACTAAGTGTCTTTATGGGAATTGTAGCCGGGGAGTTACCTGGAGCAGCAGTCAGACATTTTCCCGATCAGCATTTCAGCAGGCAGCCTTACGAGGTGAGTTTCCTTCCGGTAGGAATGGGTCTACGACCACAATGTCGGCCCGTTTAGATAATAGTAGTTCAGTATGCTTGATGTCTTTGTGATTCAGGCATGTTTATGCGCTATGAGTTACGGACTGCGGTCCGATGCAGTATGCAGTATATGTGTTTATGTTATATGTTATGATTATGTTATGTTATGATCAGTCAGTTCCGGACTTCGGTCCGATGCAGTGGGCAAGGCCCAGTATGTGCTTTATATGTTATTGTATGGTATGTGGTAGTTTGGGGGAGCTCACTAAGCTTCGTGCTTACAGTTTCAGTTTTGGTTTCAGGTATTTCAGCTAGCAAGGGGAAGGGCTCAGGTTGATGGCATGGCACACACCACAGTTTCAGCCTGGGAGTTGGACTCTGATATTTTTGACATGATCTTGACATCAGTTTTGATATGAAACATATTCTATGACATTTTGAGATACACGACTTATGGTTTTCTTATATGATATTTGGATATTATGGTTTTAGTAATGTTTTCAAAAGAAATTTTTGGCTTGTATTTTTGGGATGTTTCATTTCAGCTGTGGTATTGTGTGTGAGAGTTTTGAGCTTAAGGAGAGGGGTTTGGTGGGCATTTTAGAGTTCTTTCAAGAAGGAGAAGTATTTGTACAAGCTTGGAACGAATTGGTGCTTCAAGATCCTGCCTAATCGCCACCATCACCACCACCTCTACCACCGTCACGGAAAGCGCCTACAACAGCCACCACCACCACCTCTACCATCAGTGCCACCACCTTTACTACCACTACAACCTTTTCCACCGCCACTACTACCACCACCTCTTCCACCTCCATCACCACCACCTCCGCCGCCACCACCACCATCACCGCCTCCAGCATAACCACCAGCTCCGGTGGATGTGGTGGTGGTGGTGGTTGTTGCGGTGATGGTGGTGGTTAAAGGTGGTGGTGGTGGAAGTGAATATGGAGGTGGTAACTGATACGATAGTGGTGACGGAGGCGGCGATAGAGGTGGTAATTGTGGTGACAGTGGTTGTGGTAGAGGTGGTGGTGACAGTGGCGGAGGTGGAGGTGGTAGAGGCGGTTTTGGTGGTAGATGACGTCGTTGGAGGTCGTGGGGGAGGTTCTTTTTTTGTTCAGATTTGGTCATTTTTTTGTACACTATATACCATTCAACTTCTTGAACTGTTCACATATTATCCTTTTACCTACGCTAGCAGGTCACAAGGATAAAATGTGAATAGGTTCGACAAGTTGGATGGTATATGGCGTACAAAAAAAATGAAAGTGACTGAATATAAACAAAATCAATAATCTGTTACCCTGAGACATTTTCCCTTTTTATTACTATATTATAATAATTGAATTCCATTGAACTACAACAAAGAGTATATTTATAACTCAATTTTATGTTATTCAAAAAATAAATAAATAAAATAAAATAAATTCAACTTCATTAAAGAGCACCATTGTAACTTAATTTAATTTGAGTATAAGTATGGTAATAAATAAAGGCTTGATAGTCTTGAAACAAAATAAATACGAATCAACTAAAAAATATTCTCTTCGTCATATACTCTCATCAATTTTGTGTTCCTGCAAAAAAATAAATAAATAAATAAAACAATATCACTACAGATTTATAATCAAACATTATTTAAAAAAAATAGATGGTTTAATACCTTCATCATTAGGTTGAACAATATACCCCTTCATTATGGTCTGATCTTAAGTAAACATTATTATCAATGTTAACATCTGAAGATGGAATACCAATGGAAAATGGAGGCAGCTCGTCAAATTGGTCATACTCTTCCTCGTCCTCAACATTTTCAACCCCTAGTATACGTCGTTTTCCATGTAGGACAACGTGCCAGCTCGAATCTTTCGGGTCCCCAACAAAGAATATTTGCTTCGCTTGTTTGGCTAGAATGAAGGGTTCTGTTGCATAACCCTCTGTGGAAAGGTTGACAAGTGTGAAACCGTCGTCATCAACCTTAACACCTTATCGGTTGTCGACCCACTTACACTTGAACAAGGGCACTATAGTGGAGGAATCATATTTCAATTCCCAAATTTCTTGAATAACACCATAATACGAGTCTTTGGCTATAATTGACCTTCCTTCATGAGTCGCACTAGAGTAGTCAATCGATGTGGCTATTAACGTGACTCCACTATTATGTACTGTACTCTTTCTATCACGTTCTTCGGTGTAAAACGTATATCCATTAATATCATAACTTTGATATGTTGACACCGCGTTTAGTGGACCATACCCCAATATTTTCACTAATGGATCAACATTGGTTGTGCCTAAACTTTCTTTCACCTTGTTTTTCAACCATTGTGGAAATGTTCCCATATGCTTGTTAGCCAACCATTTTTGTGTCCTTCTATTGTGGGTTGTTCTTAAGGTTCCCATGTGCTCATTTATGTATGGAGCAACAACTGTCATGTGTTGTAAGACTGTAAAATGTGCTAGATGGAATTTATTTCGATCGGGAATAACCACTTTCAACCCACTTATACCAACCCCTTCAAGTCTACCTTCATGTCGTGATTGTGGTATTCCAATACTTGGCACGCCTTCTAGATAATTTGTACAAAATTCAGTAACCTCCTCTGTAGCATATCCTTCAACAATACTGGCTTCGGGTCGATGTCGATTCCTTACATACCCCTTAAGAAAACCCATATATCTCTCAAATGGGTACATGTAACGTAGAAATACCGGACCACAAATCTTTATTTCTCTTATAATATGGGATACAAGGTGAACCATGATGTCAAAAAATAAAGGAGGAAAGTACATCTCAAGCTGGCAGAGAGTGATGATGATATCATTTTGCCATGAATCCAAAATCTCGGGATCAATTACTTTTAAATGAATCATGTTAAAAAATAAGCAAAGTTTTGTGATTATGTGCCTAATATGGTCCGGTAGTATACCACGAATTGCAATGGGGATCATATGTGTAAGTAAAACATGATAATCATGCGACTTCATACCACTCAATTTCAAGTCTTTCAATGATACTAACCTCTTGATGTTTGAAGAATAGCCGGATGGAACCATCACACCAT